AGTGTTTCAGTTTTATAAATTAAATGATAGGAGATGGTTATCACAGAAAGATATGAAGAAGAAAATTTTTCAGATGCTTGTCAGCCATCTTAATCCTTATTTTCTTTTAATTTCATCATACGAATTGGCAAATCACTTAAAGCTAATTAAATTCAAACTATATTTCACCACAGTATGTTACTGTTAAAATCATAAAAGGAATGGTATTAGATAATGAGCCATCATAATTATTTTGAAGGTTTAGGAATTTGGCAAAATTAAAAAAAATCCTACAAAGTGTAAATAGTAAATTAATTATATATATTAGTCATAATGTAGATTTTTGTCTTACTAAAATGTATTATTTTTATACTCAACTATAATATACAGTTGGGAACCATTAAGTATTTCCCAAGGGTATCTGTTGTTTAATATATTTTCTAACCAGTTATTAATTTGTCATTTATTTCCTTAAAAAAGAAATTTGTGTAGGTTTCTCCAAGTTTCATTTAGAAGCTCATGATGAAATTCAATTGTCATGGAAGAACGTGGGAAAATAGTGTGTGTGACATGTCTAATTTGAAATACATAATGACTTTGGCCAGAACTCAACTCAAAATACACTGAAAAATTATTGGCAGTTTTATTTGGAGTTGTTTTTTGAATCATTAATGGGGAATAAATTATCTTGTGATTATCTCATCCACTTTGGTCAGCATAACAAGATTTCCAGAATGATAAAGTGTTTATGTGATTAAACAAAAAATCTAATAAATCATAGTCATTTCAGGCATATATGACATTGTCAATCCTCCAAACTCTTAATAGTAAATGTTAAGTTGAAAGATATAGGCTGTGCCTATTCCTTTGGGTTAGCCACCTCCTTTTTGGTTGGAAGCTTTATCATCATTAATAAGGAAAATGAGACCCTTTCTTAATTCATGAATTTGATAATAAACTTTCAGTTAATCTGAAATATGTTTCTGTAGAAGAATATCTACCCTTCCACGTATACATCACAAAACCAGTATATGTTACCTTAGATTTCAGCTTTATATGGCATGGCATTCTGTGGGTACTGTTTTGGTGATTTTGAGAATTACACAGAAAAACTCTATAGTTTACGGGATGAAATAGAAAAAAAAACAGCCAAAAGAATAGGCTTCTCTGAGGGAAGCAGAGAAAATAATTTTAAAATTATTCCAAGATATTTATAACTAGTGTATTACCCTTAAAATTATTGTCTTTGAAAAACTTGACACTCTTAGAAAATTAATACTCTGGAAGTATTGTATGATGTATTTGTATTTTTAATTACATTGTGTTTGTTTCTTACTGAGTTATATGTTAGATGTTTATATTGCATTTACTATTTCTGCATTCTAGCTAGTGAAAGTAAATAAAGATGCATTGTAATTGTCAGCATTTTTTTTCCGTTAGAAAGTTTATAATTGCTTCATTTGATATTTTTCATGTTTTAAAAACTTTAAGGTACAACAATTGAATAACATGGATGAGGTATGCTATGAAAGTGTTTTGAAGCAAGTGAAGGCTGGACACCAGGTACATTTTATTTTATACTCTTTTTAGTCAATGCTTTATGATTAAAAGTATTGATTTAATGCTCTTCAGAAAAATTTCTGGAATTCTGAGAATGACTCAGGTTTTATTTCTTAATTTTTTAGCCCAATGAGTAGCCTTGTAAGTCATAAAATATTTATAGATAATATTGTCATCCCAATATTGATAAGTCATGCTATTTGTTTGCCATTTTTATTTAATAGATGAGAGAGAAGAATTTTATCANTTTCTGTGTCCCCTCTGTATTCCCTTTCTTCGGACATTTTCCCACTTATCACAGTCTTCTTTATAATTTCACAACTTGCTATAATTTATTCTACCTTTATCTGTATTCCTCACTAGACTTTAATCTCCTTGACAGAAGGGTCTGTGTGATTCTTCTCATGTTTTCAGTGTACTAGCACAATGCTCTTAACGATTTCTATTAAATAGCAAAGTTCCTGTTTTTATTTGTTCCGTGTGATTACCAGATTGTCCCAGTAGATGGCAGTGTTTTACATAGCACGTCCACATTGGTATCTAACAGAAGCACCTTAGGGAGCGCTCCTAGCTAGCTATTCTAATGCAGTGTAGATTCTGTACAGGTTCTGAGGTGCCTGATGGTATTAGGGATTAAATTCACAACACATTTGGCGTGATTGAGGGAAATTTGGATAAGAGAAAAGTGTAAGAAAGGCCAAATCTGTTATATTTAACGACATTCAGCTAATATTAGCAGTTGTCTTAACTACTTTCAATGAGTAGGGCGACTATCAAAACTTAAGATTTCATGTGAGGGAAAACGTTATAAAAATGTACCGCCTAGTTTTGGGGCTAATTATAAGAACATAGCTGTAAAATATTATTTTTTATAGTTTTATAGTTTTCAACAATTAATAATTTTACATGAATATTTATAGTGTATAGAGCTTCAAGATTTGGCCTAGGATGTAAAGTTCCAAATTATCCTTATTTAAAAGAATGTATTTTTTTGTAAGGCTTATCTGCATTGAAAATAATAGGATTATATTTTAAGATTAAAAAATAAAGTTGTTTTAAAATAAATTGTTAGTAGAAAAATATCTCTGGTGTTTGTAGGGTCCCATGTATTTCAAAAGAACTTAAAAATATATTTAATAACTTTTGTGTTGTAAATGATTTTAAAACCAGAAATCACTTTTATTTCCTTTCAAATCACCACCAGTACCACTTAGAACTTTGGTTAATTGAAAATCATCATTTGAATCACTGTAAAGGATTCTAATCACAACATATAAAGGAGATTTCATAAATAATGGATATGGCCATCTTTTCCCCTTATTTAAATTTCCTTGGTTTTGATTGGTTTAGGTTTGAGGTTTTGCTGATACCCTAAGATTTCTTCAGTGAAAGCAAATTCATGGTAAAATGTAAGCAATCTATAGTAAGAGAAGGAAAATACTAATTTCATAAGTGAGTCCTTGAGAATTTTTAAAAATTTTAGTTTCCTGAAAGTAATTTTTCATTGACTATGTGTGTGTGTGTGTGTGTGTGTGTGTGTGTGTGTGTGTGTATATATATACATAGTTTCAAGTATTTGTCATGCAATTGTATCATTTTAAATTTAGATTTATAAAACACTACAAGTATCCACCTTAATTATTTTAAACTTTTGTGTTTAAAATGAATTTAAAATAATTGAACTGAAGAATAAACAGCATATATTTTAAACACCTGGAATTAAAAATTGGTAAAACTTACACTAAAACTTAACCCATGTACTTACTTACCTTGTTACAGTTTTAGAACCAAAAAAATATAAAATGAAGAAACTAATTAATAGGATTTCCCAGTTCAGGAAATCTACTAAAATTACACTTTTAATTATTGTATATCATCCCAGATGCTAGGGTTAGGCCAGTTTTCTTTCATATTACGTATCTCTTTTAGACTATGTGTTTTATTCAGTATTTCTTCAGGGATCTTGTTTTACTGTGAATGTTTTATACTTTATGTTTACTAAAACTTATTTTAAACTTAGTAAAAATCCAGAGTGTTGAATCTACCTCATACATTCATTAAAATAACCCATATAGGTTGAATCCACACAAAGTATGATAAGGATTCTTGGACTCTCTGCAACCTTACCCAACTACCTCGATGTTGCCACATTTTTACACGTTAATCCCTACATTGGCCTTTTCTACTTTGATGGCCGTTTTCGACCAGTTCCTCTTGGACAGACGTTTCTGGGAGTTAAAAGTACAAACAAGGTAAATTTCATTTTAATAATTATGCTTTTTTCCTAAAAATATCTCTGTTGATGTATTGTTTAATACTTATTTGGGAATCGAGACTTCAAAAGACCATTTCTGTGGTATTACAAATATAACATTTTAGACAAAATCAAGCAGTTTCTCAACTATATGTAGTAAATTCCTCAAAAAAGTTGCTTCTAGTAGTTTGCA